GAAAGTGTCCGTGCGCATTTACAGGGAGGTGTACACCATTCAACATTGCGTTAACGGACTCTTCAGGGTTAAATTTATAAACATGTAACCTTTAAAGTTGAGAAACGCTAATCAATCACTTTTCTTAGGAAGAGAAAACAGTGATTCCAAATCTGCTCCTAATTTAGTACATAATCGCCCTTAAAAGGATATGCAGCCGTTGAAATAGTGCCAATGTAGCGAAAAAGTACCTTTCGGCGGTACTCGTGCAAAATCCTCAACGTAGCCGTTTTTTTAATACTGGACGTTTGGAGCAGTTCTAGTAAGCATTTGATAGAGCAAATCTTCTAGTTTATGATGGCGTATTTACTTTTCGGATTGGATGAGTTTGAACGGAGTTATGGCTTTAGGAAAGTGAAAAAACTCGCACTCCATCACAAATTTTCCTCGTTAATTTTGCAAAAATCCTCAACGTGGGCATTTTTCGAATACTGGACGTATAGAGCTGCTTTAGCAATGGTTTGGTAGAGAAAATCTTCTAGTTTCGTCTGCCATATTAATACACTACACTTCGCCTTTCGAATTTGACGAAAATGAAGCAAGTTGTTGCTTCGGAAAGTGTAAAAACTCGTGCTCATCTCGAATTTTCCTCGTTAATTGACCTAAATTTGTTATTTCTTATAACTTTTTGTAATTTCAATACTGATTAGAAAAAGCTCCACAAAACTTCCAAATCTGCTTTCAGATTGAAAATTCGTTAACTTTGAAGAAAGTTATAATCATTTGAATATTTGTTCAAATTTCAATAGTAAATAAGCTGCTCCACGGTCAACGCCAAAGTCCAGTCAACACACAGCTGGCGAAGGCTTTTACAAGGCTTCCTTTGAGCGAAAGGGGGACGTGTAAATTGAGAACCATAATCTGTGTAGTACTAGAATTTGGTAAGTCTTGTGGAGGAAATAAATAAAGAGAGATGTTGTCATAGTATGCCATTTTTAGTGACTAGTTTTTCGTCGTTTTCTGGTCTGTTTCTCGTTTGCTCGTTTGGTAGGACTCATCAATAATGATTATTCTTTGACTTTTTCACTTTTGTACTTCTTAAACGAATTTTTTTGTGGGCGGTGGGGTAGCAGGGCTTTTTTATGAGCAGTTTTGGGGGAGAATTAAACAAGCTTTTCAACCTTTTCATAGTTCGGCTTTTGAAGAGGGTTGTTTCATGGACTTCGGCCTCCGGCGGAGGGTGGTGGGGGGGGGGGGGTCGTATTTCCAAATTTTCCTCAACGCCTCGCTTGACCCTGTTCTGAGCTCCTGGGACTCAGTCCTAGATTGATTGCGCCGGTATCTTGGATAGCGCACATGATCCTTTGCAATTATGCCTTCACGATTGCGGTTTGCAGGCCAATAGACTTCACGCTGTGTGATGACATCGGGATGGTGGGGTGTTGTTCGAGCGGGAGAGATACGAAGGACGCTGAGAAGAGAAGTAGCGATGTGTGCCAGGGAGCATAATGGGAGGAGGTCTCTTTCAAGGACCCTTTCGGTTCACGTTATACGTAATAACTTCGTATAGCATACATTATACGAAATTATTTCAGAAATTTGAATTCATGCTGGTTGAGTGTGACGGTGAGAAACTGTACAAAGTGGTATCAGACGCAGAAATCAACAACACCATTTCTGGTAATGTCTCCTGCTTTCAATAACTTCCATGTGTAGGAGAAAAAGTCGGGTATTCGACAGGAGACCCGGCGAGAAGGCAGAGACGCAGACACGTCAGCGGACGAGTCGCAGCGCGTACTGCAGTGATTTCGCGTCAATAAATAGAATGTACTATAGTACGTCCCACATCACACAGCACGCGCTGCGACTCGTCCGCTGACCCGTCTGCGTCTCTGCCTTCTCGCCGCGCGACGGGCCTCTTGTCGGGTACCGGAAAATTCGATTCTATGTACTGCATCCACTATGATTTGAGTTTTTCAGAGTATAAAAAACAGCTTCCAATCGGGTTACCAAGCAAACCAGTCAACGAAAGACCGAATCCATTCAAAAGCGGTGTAATGGAAGAGAAAAAGGACGATACGGAGGTTAGCCGTACTTCTCCTCAGTCGACAAGCAGATGACTTCTTAGGTTTTCTAAACGCTATTTCAGCCGGATCATGATACACTTCAACTTTTGGCGTATCGCCAAATATGCCTAGTTCCTATTGAGACGATTCTATCCACGGAAAATGCCGCTGGACTTCTACCTCAGGTGATCGATTCCGTGAAAAAGCTCATCCTTGCCACGCCGGACATCACGATTCGGCATCTTGCTGTACATATCATTGAGATGATCATTCCTAAATGAATCTACTATTAGAATAAATTATCTTTTTCTTCCGGATTGGATATCTCAGAGATATAATAGTTCGTCCAATAGTTGTGATGCTATCGTAAGTTTGGGGCGGTGGTGGTGCACTGGAACGTGGCGATGCGGGGACGTCCCCGATCGAATCTCGCCCAAGCCGCCAAGCCTTTTATCCTCTCCATCGGGTAATTGGTACCAGACTTGTCTGGGAGGATAAAAACACTGACTTGAACATCGGCTGGCCCCCGCAAGTCATTGTATAGGCCACATCGCATTCGCCACTGCGAATGTACAAATGGAAGTAGAATGCGTGCCGCATCCCAAAAAGGGATTGATCAACGGCAAATGCTTTATCCTTAGTGCTTTATCTGTGAACGTCCGTTGGTCCTTTAAAGGGTGTCTCCATGTGACCCCCCCCCCCCATTATCTCGGGTGTGGTTCACTAAAAGTAGAAAACGACTTTTCCACTTATCGCAGGGCGAATTTTTTTTGCTGCTGCAGGAACCCGTAGTCCACCAGTGATCAAAAGTGACCCGGGGTTCTCGCAGCCGAAAATTTTTCGCGCTGCGAAATGCGGAAAAGTGCTTTCTGCTCCTAACGAACTACACCACACTACCACCATCAACCCGTAGGAGGCCCCACAATACGCCACCCGTCCCCCTTCCCCAATCACCACGCCACAATCATGGCTGTTTCCATAATATTTGATTCCGAGCATCAACAACACACGTCTAAGCCCACTCTCTCCTTGAAAAGCCTCGAGCAGGGGCGAAGGGGGGGGGTAAGTTAACATCATGAAGCGACAAACCCTACCTGTTCACCCTCTTCCCAGAGATAATTAACCTCAAAATGCGATCTTCTCGTTCGAATGGTGCGAACGGACGGTTGACCCCGGTCACTACCACTGCGCTTCCCTGCTTCATAAGTTCTCAGAGAAACGTTCCACAGATAATGAAAGCCGATTTGAAATGAGGGTTCAAGGCAGGTTCATGGGTATACATCTCACGGTGAATGGCCCTGATAACTGATACTCACTGTGGTATTTCACTCTAAACAATTGAAACCCAGGCAGAACAACTGCGCTAGATTCTTTTTCATTTGCGAGTTTTGACAATATCAGGCCTGAATTATTTTATGTGAGAGAAAAACCTTGTTCTTATTAGCCCTATATTTTTTCCTAGCGAACAAAAGGGCTGGTGCAAAGCAAAATTCGGAGGAGAACAGTTGGCTGGATCGACCGCTAGCAATATTAGAAATACAGTATGTGTCGACTGTCGGAATACTGACCTCTGATGTTGGTTGCGGGCTATGCGGCCACGCCCGAGCTGAAAGGATCAAACAGCAGCTGTTCTACAGCACATTTTGAGATTTTCCATTGTCAAGTCGAATTCTCATATTCTAGTTAGATAAGGTTCACCGGTCTAGTTAAGGGATATTTCGCAGGTTCGCTCTCAGAGTCAGGCATAGCCGCTCACAGTGATTGCCTTCTGTCCTCCTTGTCTTCATACTGTAGTCTGTTCCACTGAACTGAAACTGTGCGGCTGTCAAATCCTTCAACTAATCTGAGCTCTGCGGATGTGGATAGAGCAGGAGTTTTGATAAGAACACACAGATCGCAGACCAAGTACCCCGCAAGGGAGTTCCGTTTTTTCTGGCCTGCCAAGCGCATTCAGCCGAACCTATTCTTTCAATGAATCTAGAACTTTTGGAGGTTCATGCTTTTGTTTAAAGATTAAAGATTCATCTGATATAGCAGAATCTTATTGTGCCTGTCGAAACTTGACCTTCTCCAATTCAGATTGTGTGAAGTGTGTTTGAAAGCCGTGTCTCTTTGCTAGTGCTGAATAAGAGGGCGTGAGCAACAACAAAACAAACTTTAATGTAATTCATAACAATAATTCAGAGATTCTTGGGAATGATCCCATCTCTTTGAGCCAGCCTCAGCAAAGCATCATCAGATTCTCCCTGACGGCGAAGAGCACCACAAATGGCGTAACGCGTCGATTTTCCAGCAACCTACAAATCGTTTTTCATGGAGTATTAGTACTGAAAAATGGCAAAACGAACCATGCGTCCAGTGATGGGGTCAACATCGACAATATCAAGCTGAATTGAAGAGTGATCCTTAGGCCCAATCAAACGATTGGACGAAGAGCTGAAAAAAAAAACGTTTTGCAGCTTCATTCAGTGGGAAAATGTACGATACTAACGAAAAATGAGCTGCGAAAGAAAACCACATACCACTTGCGGGGAACATAGAGCTCCACTGTTTCACCAGCGTCGTTTTGCATGGTTACCTGGTGTTAATCGAAGCTAGTTTTTTAAACAAAAAATACTACTTAACAAAATAAGAATACTCAAATGTATCAAGCGGTGGAAACCGCGCTGGAAAAATCGATTTAATGCTTGGATTTTTATTTACATCAATGTACAACTACAAATATAGGAAAGAAAATTCTCAAACACCATCACAATAAATTATGGGAGAAAAAGCCTAAAAGCGGCAAATCACATGAATTGTGGCAAACCAGCTGCAAATACTCTGATGAGAGATACGTTAAACGCTAACACTTATAGCACCCTTTTTATTCTCCACCCAATTGTTGTCCTCGTCCCCAGAAATACCTGCCACCACCTTGTGCACCCCCAGCACGACGTTGATTCACTCGCTCAGCTCCAAACCCATGAACACCACCCTCCTCGTTAGGAAGCAAGTTGTACAAAAACTGAGGTGTTTGTAAGAGAGAAGCTCCACCGTGTTGCAGCGGATAGTCGAAGGCTAGGAAATAGTAAGTGTGCCCGACAAGAATTCCTAGCAGTTCGTTCATACCACCACCGCGAAGAACAGCGTTGAAGGCACACAAGATCCAAGGAAGATACATTGCCTGAAAAAATAGTATTCGCATGTTGCTTAACGTCATCCCATCTTCAAAAAAGGTCTTGCGTCTCTTTCAGATGAACGTTCCGTACGATTCTCAGAGCTTCACAATGGACTTCTAAATCTGCCGAAATGTGGAAAAACTAGGCCTGTGAGGAATAAGCACTCGTTACAGTTTTGTGTTATTAACCAAGCATCCAATCACATTCAAGTTCACACAATGGCGCGGCGCTCTGTTCCTCTGCGATTACTAAGCCTAGAGAGGAATGGAATTAGGAGGAAATCGAAATTTAAGCACCCGCATTCCTTCCACCCTTCCCCCAGGTCTGCCCTAAACAGTGAAACGGTGACCCTGTCGACGGACTACTTGAACTTTAGCCCTTTAAATCTGAGCGCACTCTCGCCGACAATGGCCTGACGACCAAAATCCATCAAAACTATGTTCGCGCGGTGCGTCAGTGAACAACTATAGCGGCTTACTATGTTACCTTAATCCGTCCGAGCGACACAACCGATACGCGCTTTACCTATGTACCTAATCGAACAAGTTCTTCCAGGGTAAAAAAGTATTTTTGAGGGAGACAAGCGTACACAAAGTTGTGATGTCATAAAAAAGATCGCTCACCTTGAATGTTGTTCCAAACCAAGAATGAAACAATCGTGTCTTTATTTAGCTGACACCACACGTATAAAACACTCAACACATCGGTTCCAACAGAAAATATACCCCCGCGGCCAGTGTGCATATTTGCCCTGCAAATGTAAGCCGCGCTGTAGAAAACTTTTACCCAAACTCATTTTTGAATCTATGCAGCACTACACCGACCTACGCGTTAACACGCACACCCCCCCCATTTTTGAACGACCGCCGTTATGAATGCGTCACTTCACTTCTTTCTAAATTTTTTCATCAATAATCATTAACTCTCCAACAATTTCACTATTAGTTTTTAGCGCATTATTCCGCGAATTCGATAATGTATTTGTGTAGTTTTGAAACATAAAAAATGCCAAAATAAACCCCTAAAAACGTGTCGCCACCGAGCGAAAGTGTGGCCCACCGGCGGGCCACACGGTCGTCGTCAAAGGGGTAAAAATGAACGGGATCGAGCGTATAGTCACTACAACTGCCAGCCTACATTCGAAGCATATCTACGTGCATGCAGAGTCTCTACAGAAAACCGTGCTAGTCTAAAGTTGCCTGAATTTGGTCCTCTGAAAGATTCACTGCACTGACATTGTCTGACCCCTTTTGCCTAAATAGTGGTTCATGGCTTACTGGTAGTGTCCTCCGCGCTCCAACGCTGTTACACAGAAGTTAGCTCACACACACCCCTGGCTCATCCTGAGATCACCTTACTAGCATCGCAGGTTACTACCGTTAATCTAAGCCGACCGCTTAGTACTTTCGCCATGGGGGATACTCCAAGCTTAGGTCAAGTAATCCGAGTCGGGCCTTAGGAAACATGGAAGCCGAAGCGGGGACTGAAAGAGCGACTCCATAGATGCAGGTCAACGCGAAAGTTTAAATTAGTACTCAAGCAGTTCGCCTCGGTGGTCCAAAGGAAAACAGCGTGCTTAGCGAAAAGATAATGGAACCACCCAATTCTTGTTAACTTCTACTGGAGAACAATAGAAATCGAAATCATAAAATAGAAAAGTATTAAAAATGAAGCTCTAAAAGAAAAAAACTCACCGTGCAAATCAACCAATTAAATATTAACATGTAAAGGTAATCCGCAGGTCGCCCAGAGAAGACACCGGTTTCGAGATTTTTCGAGTAATTATACAAGAAGTAGAGCATCTTAGAAGCCAGTGAAAACCAGTCTGTGGTGAGACGGGGTAAAAGAGTAGGGCTGGCTTGAATCGTCGCCAGAACTGAAGCACCGACCTCAACTTTTGAGAAGGTGTCCAACTAATGTGTCGGAATCGATGAACAAATTGCCATGAAACTTTTCTGTCACTCAATAAAGACGTTTTGACGTCACAAATGTTTGATTTTCAACCAGAAAGGACCTCAACAAAGTTAAACACGCGATAGCTAAAACAAGGGGGACACTCATAAAAAAGCGAACAACGTTGAAGCGAGTGTCGATACAACGTCAGAATGCAACAACCCAATTCCATCCCTCTCTAATGAGCGATCTAACTGACATGAAAACAAAGGAAGGAAAAGTATAGCATAGGTACAGACCTTGTGGACTAGGGTTCGCTAAAGGCCCCCATCTACTGAAAAAATGTCGTAAGGAGCTTCTACGTTTCGCTGAGCTAAAACACACGCAACATGTATGAGAGGCTACTGCCTTCACCAGTGTGCGGGAATGAAGCAAAGCGGGTTGTTCTCAGGCGGCATGCCTGTGTTCGGTATGCTTTTGTTCCGAGCACACAAGTTTGCGTGCACGCAGGACCATGAGAGGGAATGGTGAGGTAGCCGTGGATGGACAAGGCACTTTTCCGCTTTGCAAGCACGAAACTTTTTTGGCCTGTCGGGTATGCCTAGCGTCTACCCACTCGATCAGGGGGTGAGACCTGGGCCAGGTTGCCAGGCTCAAGCCCCGGGCGGTCTTACGGACTACCTGATTGGTTTCCTCAGATGCGTCGCCGCCGATGGCCAGAGCACACATCGATTAGGAAACGGGGTGGTGCTAGAGACCAAGCCGTGAGACGAGGGAGAGGGGATCGCGGAGAGAGCGCAAGAGGCGATTCAAGGGGCTGAGCTTTCAAGTAGTCACGTCGCAAGCCGCAGGTTGACGGACTACCTTGCGAACCCGGTCCTTTAAGCCGCCCTCAGATCCATCTCTCGTCTGCGCTCTCTCACCTTATCAGCGGCTCATGACCATTGTGATCACACACATTCAAACTTTTGCCACACTGTAGTTGGCTCACCCACCTCGAAGTCCCTCCCTCCTACAAGGCTTAGTCCTAGGGCTCTCACCTCCTTCCTTGGGATTTGGAGCCGAGCCAGGCGCCGTTCTCTAACTGTCTGTGCCCTCCGCCATTCGTGGCAGGACCATGGAAGAAAGTTCAAGTAGTCCGTAAACCGCCCCGGCCAGGGGATGGGTCCCCAAAACTCTGCGTCTCTATTCCGGTCGATGACGTGGCCCTCAAGTTCAAGAATAGGAGGATGTGTCCAGAGAAGTCTACGGGACAAATCCCCTCGCCGGGGATTGGTGCACCCGACCCCTGGGTACTCGCAGCGAGCTGTGAAGCGGAAAAAGCTTTCTGTCCTAGCAAATTGTAACAGAGTAAAATGCAGGGCTGCCTGCAGCAAAACCCGATTTTACGAATTGCTCATCTAACATGGTCCGGAATACCAGCAAAAACGTAGAAGGCAAAACATGAATGACTAAAAAACAAGTCAACTAATACAGCCAAACAATGAAAAAGCAACTCACATGAAAATTATAGACTACAAGGTCCCAATCCAAATACATCCACATTGGGTTAATCAGTCCAAACCGTCCTAATAAAGGTAAAACGACCGATACAGCGAACCAGTATCTGGTGACAATGGGCACGCTTCTGAACCACGTACCGAGGTCACTCATCTGAAATAGTAAGGAATCAGCAACGGGAATGAAGCCGGTCAGCAATTGTGCCGAACAAAAGTATTCTCAAATGGTTTACAAGGAACAAGAGATCGAAGGCTACACAGGCTCTTCTAGATCCCTCCTGTTGGTGCGCAACTTCTCGGTCAACTTCTGCGATTCAATCAGGTTTTACTGGTATTCATCACAAAACCAAATGTCTTCTGAATGGGTTCTGAAGTCTTACCGAATTCCAACTGATATTTAAAACAACTTTAAATTGTCAAATTGACTTCCTATAAGCTGCTGTACTATCCAAATCAAGAAAGAAGCATTAAAAATCCTCTACCATGAAAAGTCAAAAGAGACTCACCTTGAGGTGAACTTCGGCTAGGTTACCAGCTTCCAATAAAACAACTCAATGGGGAAGTATATCGAGATCTTAATAAGAGCAAGGGGGTGGAGCGTTTCGCAACAGGAAAATTTAGGCCACGCCAGCATAACGGGCCTTCCGTGCGGGACCCACCGCGAGATGAGTGGGCGGGCGCGCTGCGGCCATTGTGCAGTGTTGTCAGCTGATAATCGACGTTGACTTGTAAAGCATTTCCCCTTTGAGGAGGTTTCATTCTTGATCGTGGTTTCTATAAAGTTGGTCCTATTCTTTTCGTGAAGTATCACCGTTGTCAAGTTCCGTCTCCCAATTTCTAAATGCTTCCAGATTCATGGCACAGGAGGGAGTCGCTTCAGACTCGGTTGAGTTAACGGTGCGCTGCGCCTTTCAGACCTCCAAAGATATCAGAGTCGTTTGTCCGTTGAACTGGACAATACGGTTGCTGAAGGAGCACCTCCATCAAGTATGCCCATCTCATCCTGTAAGTATCAATCACTTACGGTCTAGTTTTTGTGTGGTAAACTCGTTCTTTTTGTGAACTTCTCTGGAGATAGTCGCTGACGACGCCACGTGGGCACACTGAATTTGAACTGTGATTTTTGGCTGGTCGTCGTGGCGCTACGGTGCCCCGCCCTTGAGGAATCAAAGAACCGAACCGACCAAAGGACTAGTTACAGCGGTGCTATCGCAACATCAGAGGGCATCCTTTAGAACTAAGCCTAGGAGGGTGCAAAAAACTTCGGGGAGGGGGCTCAGTCTCGTTGTGGCACTTCATGCCGCTGGGGGTGGCGTTCAGGGGTCGGGTGCAGCAAGCCTCAACGAGCGGATGGGGACTCATCCCCTCGTGGATCGTGGACATCATCCATGTGTCTCCAAGGTTGAGTGAGTCGTTGGGGGTCGCATGCACCGGCCAATAAATGGTGATGTGAATCACTTACAGTACTTTGACAAAAAGCCATTCCCGGGGAGGACGTAGAGCCAACCTTTGTTCACACTGGCCGCGCACCTTCCCTTCTGGGTTAGTCTGTCATCGGTTAACGCAGGTGCTGTCTCGGGGGGGGGGGGGGTCGACGGACTACTTGAACTCGGCCTTTTAAGCTGCCTCACTCGACGCTTTCGTCTGCGCTCTCTCATCTTATCAGCGGCTCATCACCACTGCGATCTCACACATTCAAACTTTTGCCACAATGCAACTGGCTCACTCACCTCGACGTCTCTTCCTCCTTTAAGGCCTACTTCTAGGGCTTCCACCTTCCTGTTTGGGATCCTGAGCCGAGCCAGATGCCGCTCTCCAATTGTCTGTACCCTCCGCTATTGGTGGGGACATGGAATAAAGTCAAGTGGTCCGCGAACCGCCTCGAGGAGGGGGGGGGAGGGGGAAGGGTGTGGTTCAATAGGACAGAAAGCGACTTTTTCGCGGCGCGGAACATTTTTCGCTGTGGGGATCTCTGGTCCACTGATTTTTCGCTGCGGAAGTTCTCGGGTTCACTAATGATCAGAGATAGACCTGGTGTTCCCACAGCGAAAAATTGACATGCATGGAAAAAGCTGGGGCGGTATTCAATCCTTCCCCTAGGGTTGGGGGACGAAAATCCCTTTAAATTTTCTCTGTCTTCCCAACTGGGATTGTCCTGATAAAGGGCCTAGGTTTAATGTATGTATGTATGTCACAGTAAGCATGCATTGAAAATGAAGAAACTACATCGTTAAAAACAAATAAATTTAAAGGGATTTCCGTCCCCCAACCCCTGGGGGAAGGATTGAATACCGCCCCTGGAGTAGGTCTCGTTGCCACAACAATACTCCCGTGTCTTGCGATAGCGCCGCTAGAGCTATCGATTAGAAGAGTCCATTTGATACACGCATCGCGTGACGTGCAAAATTAACACTCAAACTTTACCCGTGGTTCCGTAATTGGACAGGTATTTGATTCCTTGACTGACTACAGGGCGCAATGTGGCTCGGAGGGGGCCAGTCGCCGCGCGCGGCTCAGCGATGTAGTGTAACTCGAACATTCCAGCTTCTCACGGAACATTCCAGCTTCTCACGCATGCTAAGTGACTGCCCTCACCCCCCCCCCTGAATTGGCTACATTCCCCCTGGCTCACGAATTTCCTGTTGCGCACGCCGCCGCGCGCTGGCCCCCTCCGAGCCACATTGCGGCCGACTGCAGTTATGTGAGACTTCAGAAATTTGGATGCTACACTGACAGAGGAGGGCGGGGCATATTGTGGAAACTTCGTATCGCCAATTTCCTTCAGAGTTTTTAACTCTTAGGAGAGGGGGAAGCTCGAGTTTTGGTGAAGCAGTTACGAATTGGTTCACACATTGGAGCGTTCTTCCTCCTGCATAAGTCTAGGCTCTTGAAGACGGCGTATTATAGTTCATTAAATGTCCCATTCTTGTTAGTATATCGCCAAAATTTGATTGAGAACTCCAGAAGCAAATCTCACGTTCGGTTAGCTATCTTTAATTGTACCCGAAAATGAGAGTAGAGATGTGAAGTGGACCGTACATGGCGGAAATGGGAAGAGATTCCAATTCTCCCAAAAACGCGAGGTACGCCGCAGTTATGATTTGCGATCGTCCGATCGCACAGTGGAGTGTTGGTTAGATACATATCGACCGTCTGATCGTGCGATCACTTGGTTATTAGGTATCTGCTCCACGATCGGTTTTGTGATCGGGCAATGAAAACCATAGCTGCGTCTTTGGCTCAAATTTCGCCTCGTCTTTGGGCCGGGCGGTCGCGGGGGGGCGGGCCGGGCGGGACCCAATCTTTACGCTCAAATTTCATCTGATAAGAGGGCTTAAAATGGGAAACCGGGGGCTATCCCATTCAGGTTTTGACACTGACCATAGCATAGATTCGCGCTAGAAAAATATGGCTTCAGAACAGATTAAAAACAATTCAAGATTTTGGAATTATCGCCATGGGGTTCATGCTATACTGTAATATTTCATCAATTTTTGCAGGCGGTAAACTTCACAACGGCTCATTTTTTCTGGCGCTTGCTTGACGGATGACATGGTTATAAAAGATATTATGGATCAAAAGTGCGTTTATAGGTTCAGTTTCTCTTTAGATTCAGTATATCGCTGAAAAGCATCTATGCGAGATGAGGTCGCGCTCCACTGGAGAATGGATTTGGTATTATTACAGAAAAGTGTATGATGGGCCACAAGTACTTCACCTCGTTTGTCCTTTGCCACAGTCTAGTCCTCCTGAGTTGCGGCACCGTCAGATTCCAAATGCGTCTGGTCAATCGTGAGTCCTTATCGCAGTAATCATAATAATGTTCTTACTATTATTGTTGTCACAATTGTTGTTTGGTATTTATTGATTTCATTGCTTCGTATCACTATTTTTGTTCTATCGTCTAATTTTCCACGTGCCTATTTGCGTTCTGAGGTTGAGGGTCTCAAACGAGCGCATTTCTGCCCGCTGTCTGGGAACATTTTTTTCTTTTGGCAGAGATCCTTGAAATTTATCAAAAAAAAATCTGTCAAGGGGGAAGTTGAGTGAGCCCAGGCGGAGAGCTGCTGAAACTGAGTTCCAGGCCACCCTTCTTAACCTTGGCTTCGTTTCACGTGCGACTGCGTGTGACACGCCAGCACTGCTTGTGCAGTTGCCACGTCACTGTGAATGCAGCCTTGTGTAAGCGGCACTCATTGATCGCTAATACATTTCACATAACCAATCGCAGTCACAGCTGCACTTCCCTCTACAGTGTTCAGTCACGCGAGCGTGTTATTCATCGCGATGATAGCCTCTATTACACGGGTCTGCGACAGCTGCATACATAATGGAAAGTACTTTCTGTCAAAATGGCATTAGTGTCGTCCAATTAATGTGTAATACATTAAGGCCAGATTGGTCCCCCCCCCTCAACCGCCAGGACCTTGAGAAAGGGTTTTGCTTATCTCTCTACCCTCTACTGCTATTTGACTGCAACCGCAGCACCATGTGAAATGACCAAGAGTGTGCTGGGTAGGTGTTTACATAGCCATTGGGGTGTTATCACAATCATGCCATTGCAAAATATTTGTAGCGCAAGTCCTGTGAGCTGCCCAGATTTGTTAGCGTCTTGTTGATTCCTTAGCTGCCTTATCACCCACTTTATTTTGCGGTCGACGAGGCAGACGACATGCATACCAGACATAACAAACCGATATTTAAAAAAAACCCATGTTTTAGGGGTTTTGTAATGATAAGAAGGAAAGTTATTACGTATCCAATTTTGCATGACCCAAGTCCAGGTACTTAGCTAGTTATATAATCAAATATTATTATGTCGTTATTAAAACATTCAATGCTAAATATAATCGATGGGTTGCAAGTTTTCCAGTATCTTAATTCTTGTGAGTCCGTAAAGATGATCAAGTTGTGCGTTTTAGGAATCCCTCGAATGTAGCGGCCACCTCTGCACAGCCTTCTATAGCTTCTGTCCCAGACTGGACGACAAACTATTACGAGTGGTACCAACGTTATTATGGGTCAACTGGTCCTAGCCCTGAACAAATAGCACGACTGCAACAGTACTCTGGTTACTATGCCGCTTACATGAATCAGTATGTTCTAAAATTTTAATAATTAACTTCATCAGTCGACATTCATGTTTAAATTTTAGGTGGCAAGGTTATCATAACTTCATGATGGGTCACATGGGATATGGCGCACTCTTTGCTCAAGGAATGGGCGCTAGTGAGTCCGCCGCACATGCCATGCATATCAATGTTGCACAGGTTGCAAATCAGGGTGGACAAGCCCACGCTGCAGCTCCTCCTCAGGATGATGTTAATGTAGCTGCTGCAGCTGAACAGGTAACGGAAGTTCTTGTTTGGACCCTTCTTTCGTAATACTTGTCGAGACATTCATTGGTTAATCTGTTCATGGTTAACTGAAGGCATACTATTAAGTATAAGTCAAACATTTTGTACAAGTTATTTTGATTCGTGAGTATTTTTTTCGTATCCATGGCTGGTTTTGTATCGTGTTTTTCATCAGTTGGAAACGAGCGTAATAGGAATCAGATTAGACGGAGAGAAATATTTTTTTTTTCGGGAATTCGGGGCTGATGCGAGATGCGCAAAGGATAAAGAAATGTGTCCGGAAGTTTTCAAAATATAAAGAAGAAAGGGGTGCTTCGAAATTAAAACGTATGAGGGCTGATGTGTATCGGTGTTAGGGGAGAGTAGTATACGTATTAAACGCGTGCGCATAAAGATGTCACTATTCGTTATACGAAGAATTCACACGTCATTTCAAAGGCATTCAAATTTCCAGATTCCGGGTGAACCAATGTTGCCGCCGTTCCAGGAGGTGGACGTGACGTTATTGGACATTGTGTACAAAGTTTTCCGAGTGCTTCTCTTCCTCTCGGTATGCCTCAAATACCGTTTTTTGTTGCAGCACTTGAAATATTTTCGTGGCTGTTTGATTTTTTAACATCGAAGGTCGATGTGTTTTCTCGTTCAATGCTGGTGCTTGTTTTTGTTGAGGCGGTATTGCTTTACTCTTCCCTTGAACGCTTCCTTGCTGTGGTAACCATCGCCCTATTTATTTTCTTCATTCAACTGAGGAGAAATCATCAAAGGCAAGCTCGTATGGCAGAGCCAGTTGAGCCGAATGTTAATAACAACAACACAGGGGAACAGTCCCACGACACAGCAGAAAACGTGCGTTCTCAGACCTATATGAATTTTTATCTTTTTTTTTTATATGAATTTTATACCTTGAGGTGAAATACTCTACCTTACAGGCTCAGACGGGTTTCGTTGCGCCGACACCTCCGAGTACTCTTCAAGTATTCTTCGCTACATGTTACTCGTTCGTCACGTCATTCTTCACGTCGCTGGTTCCTGATCACCCTGTTCCTGTCGATTTGAATTAGAATCGTCTTCTAGTCTAAGGAAGCTGCTGTTGTACAATAAGGAGGTTGTATTTTGAATCCCTAGGTTTCTGTTGTATTCAGAGTGAAGATGTGTGGAAGTAGGTGGTCGGTTTTGTAAATTAATAGAACTTGTCGAGATGTGCACTTGCACTTTTGAGTCAGTACCATTCCATCAACAAGAAAATTAGCGACTTAGTCATATTTTGGCTGTTTGTAAGCATCACCTCAGCATTTTATCTCATATGTCCTTTGAAGAGAGAGAAGTTCAGTTTCTTTTGAACTACTTCCACAGATCCGTTTCTGTCCTTTCTTTATTTATAAGAATTTAATATTACTTTGGCAAAGAGCCAGAGTCTTTTTTATGCCACAATCCAATTTTTCTCGAGCCGGTCATTGATCCGTAGGTTGAAAATTCCAGTCACAACTTTGTTTTCCCAACATGATATGATATCATGTGGCACTGGTTCAGATTGATGCCTTATCGTAAGTAATCTTCAGAAATGTAGATTTTAATCAGATTAATCTATGTGCACGCTAGTTCTTTCCATGGTCCATTGCATCCAAGCGACTGTTCAGTCAATAATGGTGATAGAATAAAAAGTGTTGTGTATTTCGTTTTTGAAACATGTAGATCTCCTTCTGTAACTTCCCTGTCCCCTCTTGAGCCAGGTTCGGTTCTCTAATAGCAATGTGCCTGGAAAACTTGTTTTCCACTTTTTCCTATCTAGGAACGAGTCAGATCCAGCTGTGTTGTGATGTAGTACCCTCTACTTCGGTAAACGAGAAAAGCGTCGAGTGCAGCTCGCACACCACAATTGACGACAGCCAAGAAAGGAATGGCTTTTTCTTCTCTTTTCTCTGGCCTGTCGTAACTTGTGGTGTTTAGTCTGCACTCTACGCTCTTCTAGCCCTCCGAAATAGAGGCTAGATTGCTTGCCTTCTCCAGATTCTAAGATTAAGCTGTCAATTTACAGAAAATCCTGTTCTTTAGGATGCTCATATGAACGCGGGGTCTTCCTCTACACACGCAGTCCGAACAGGAATTGCGAAAGTGTCTATTCGGCGTCGTAGCGGACGTCTGCAATTAACTGGCCGACACACACGGCTGGCTCTCTTGCGTCTGAATACCGGATTTTATTCCCTGCTTGAGCCATAAAAAACCTGCAAGGGTCTCTGGCTTGATGCAGTTTGACACGAGGGTCACCATCGCTTTGAAGATTTACCCGTAAAGATGAAAAGATGGCAGGGATCGCTGCAGAGGAAATGTGTTTTGCTCTCAGGGGCATCCAGAAACCAGAAGATGCGGACAATACTGAGCAACTGTCCGGTGAGGGTAAGGCGGCTCACTTCCTCTGGTCAGGACGCCCTCTGAAATGGATGAATCTACTGGCAAAAGCCTGTTTGATCCCTCAAATTTAGTGGACAACAGTGTTAAGCTGGATTGAGTATACCTGTAACAGGCTGAATAGGGCCCAGAAAAATGTGCTGCCTGGGCAACCATTCTACCCACAGTATTACGACCCAATGTGCGGAACCCTGCCGTCGTTGCTTTGTCACCTCAACTCGTGCAGTGGGTTCATCGTTTCATTACCAAACGTTGCGGCGTGCTGACTTTTAGAGTGGCACGATTTAGCGCTTTAGGTGCTAGCACAGGTGTGACAGTAGTCGAACACTTGCCCTCATCGGAAATTACGCTTCACACGATTACGGTAAGCCTATTAGTTGGGCATTCTCAGAGGACATTTCACGACGTAAACCAATCAATCTTGATTTCCGTGCTTTTAAAACAACTCAGAATTGCAGTCTCGTAACGAGCTTAACATTTGGAACTTTCTGGGCCAGGGCTGTGTGTGAATGAAGTCGCCAAGACCTCAACTAAAAAATACCATTTTTACGGATCACTGAAGTCTAACACTCGCCTTCGGAGCCTGGCTACATTGCACGACCATGTGCAGTGTTACTTCTTGTATGGTAGGTTGGACGGGTACCAGACAGCAGGCCCGTCGCGCGGCAACAATGCATAGTCCGCGGACGAGTCTTAGCGCGTACTGTAGTGTTTTGCGCCAGGTTAAATAAATGTACCATTTTGACTTGTTTTTGTTTGTTAACTGCTGTTTTTGGCCGCAGTTCGCCTTGCGAATGTTTCACAAGAATGCTGGGTTGTGAACAAAACTTTCGCCCCAGGCGGGACTAGAACCATTGTACGTCCTATATCGCACATCATGCGCTGCGACTCGTCCGCTGACTCTGCCTTCTTGCCGCGCGACGGGCCTCCTGTCGGGTACCCTAGTTGGACCGCTCGAGAAGAAAACACTGTGTTGATATAGTGATGAAAAATGACACAGTAGAAATTTATTACATGTTCTTCCACACATGAAGGACTAGGGCATACAAGTCAAACGATTCATTCAATAATTTCCCCGAGGAGCTTCTTTTTGTACTCTTCTAATCGTCGAACATGCTTGTCATTTCCATTTAGCAGCGTGTTGATTCCATCAATTAAGCTCTTCCTTTTCTCACGGTTTCGTACTGCCTACAAATTGAAAGTATTATAATCTCGAGTCTAATCTATAAAGTATAATCTATAAATTAATCTTCGAGTATTATAATTACTAAGACAGTGCTCGCCATAGGGACTCTCCGGTCGAATGAAGGTCCCTTTAAAGGAGGAGTTCACGATGAAAAACAGCTCATTAGAAATAAGGGTAGAGGTGGTCAGTGGAAGCAGGGATGAAGAAGAAACCATTTGAAACGGCCCGAAACCCGAGAAATGGGACCCCTTCCTTGCCCGTTGATTTCCGCATTGATGCGACTCTCATCTGTGCCCTCTTCAACGCTACAGCTCTCTCTCCCTTTGCTGAATGGTTTACGGACAACTTGGATATTCCTCAATGGTCCGAATGGCTACCGAATGGCTAGGTCACAGACGATAGGAGGTCGACACCTGGCTCGGCACCAATCCCAAGGAGAGAGGTGAAGGCCTCAAAAGTGAGCCTTGCAGCTCTTCGAAAGCAATTTTCTGAGGCTTGCAGTAACAAAAGAAGTTTCTTTTTCGGAATTACCTGTGCCTCGCTCGTTAGCTCTCCAATGATGCTTAAACCATCCAATGCCTCCAGGTGCTTCATCGATGTTTCGGTGAAGTGTGCCAATCTCTTTTCCATTCTCTTGACCATTTCCAATGATTTCTGCACTTAAACAGAGTGGAAGCGTGATAAAGTATATGCAACTCCATGACCAATAATTGCTTGAGGAATTTTTTTCTAATATTCCGCTATCTGTAATTATCGCTAATGTAGAGAGTTCGAGAGGGACCGTTCGATCCGATAAGGACAGAACGGGTAAACGACTTGTACCTGCGAGTTTTTAGAACAATAGAGTGAGCCAAACTTATATTAGACATGCAAGCACCTGTAGAATGAAGATGGAACTCCACCAAGGTAAACGGGAATTTCAACAAATTTTCCTCACAAGTAAGAATCAGTGTGACAGGGGGCAAAGTGAGCAGCTATATGCTCGCGAAAATTTGAATTTATAATACTAGAGGGGTTGGAAACGGAATTATAACACGATCTTCAGTTTTCGCTCGCTTGCTAAGGCAGTGGATACGGTGGCCGAAGAGGTTGTAGTTTTGGACGAACATTATGAGGCCGTCCCAGCCACACCACTCCCCCCAGCTGCACTGAGGGATCCAGTCCATCGATGACGTTCAGTGACGTCCCAAACCGCACTGCCGCTACCGTGATCACCGCCTTTAGCGCGCACAGGGGATATGTGTTTTTGAACAATCGCGAAAAACCACAATGATACCTCGTGTGAAGATATGTATTCCACCACACAATCTCTTCCTAAACGTTCAAGTAGCATAATGTATTACCGTCAAGAAAATTTAACTCCATCGCACTGAGATCGCTTTCTATTTGCTCGTGCTGCTTTTGAAGTCCCACCAAATTCGCTTTTTCGTAAGCCACAAGGGCCGAGAAGCCCGGATCGTCCTGGAAATGCTCACTTCTCAATTCGAAAGCAGTATGGACCCGAATGCTTGAGGACAACGCTTGTAGGAACATTGAGTATGAAATGAAAACCTCAGCATTAATGACTACTATGGCATAAATTCAGAACTAACTGAACTAAGGCTGACTAACCTTTAACGACGACGATACCTTACCCATAATCAATATTTTGTCATTATCTTTGAAATTCATATCTAGTAGAGAGAGATCATCATCACCAGTAATAGTTTTTCCTGAAAAAAGGGTCAGATCAACAACACAGAAAGTATAGGGAGTGGGTACCATGCATCGGAGTGTGGTTGGAACGGGAAGCATTGGTAGGTCAGAACGCGACATTTTCGCTTTTCGCAGCGCAAAACTTTTTTTGTTGCGAGAGCTCCAGCTCCATCTCTGATCAAGAGTGGACTTAGGGTTTCCACAGCGAAAAGTTTCGCGCTGCGAAAAGCGGAAACGTCGCTTTCTGTCCTAGTGAGCCACGTCCCAAGGGTAGATTAGCCCACGACTATCACAGAGGGGCCGTTGTCGCGGTTTGAAAGTGAGCGCCAATGGCGTTGTGGCTCTATAAAATGGTCTG